CGCAGCGCCGGCGGAGGGGCCGCGGAGCGGGGACCCGACGGGCCGGCACCCGCTGGCCCCGTGCGGGGCCGCCGCGCTCGCCCGGCTCCAGGGAGGCCGCGTTTAGCAGACACGGATCGGGGGAAGGTCTTTAACCGCGCCGCACATGTTCGCGGCACGGGGTTTCGCGGGGCATTTGCTCGGCTCCCTTTGGCCCGGAGTCCCCGCGCCCGCGGGTGCCTCCCGGTTCTGCCGGCGGAGCGGGGCGGCGCGGGATTCCCGCGGTGGGCCAGCCTTGTCCAGCCGCCCGGGCGGTGCCACACCGGGAGTTCGGGGAGCGAGCACGGACGGCAGTCGGATGGAGTTCCCTGAGGGGCAGGTTACATTGGAGGTGCCGCACATCAGGGTAGAAAGGGCGAAATCAATTACCACAGGCTGGGGCTTCCAGAGCAGCACTTAATGCCCTAAGTAAGCTATTCTAATTATAGAGAACGGGTAGGATTAAGAGGGAGGGAGGGAAATTCTGTTATTTACAAACTCTTTTCTAGCTGCCCTGCCTTGCAAATCCTCTTGGGCGAAGGAGTTAATCGGAGCCTCGAGAGAGCCGGCTTTCCCCGACGGCTCGGGCTCTCCCTCTCTCGCTGCCGTGCCGGGGCGCACGGCAATCCCGGGGAGTAACCGGGGAGCGACCCGCCGTTCGCTGCCGGGGCAGCGACACCTCCTCGCTCCACGCCAAGATCCCCTCCGGAGAGGCGGTTGGCGGCCGCTTACCTTCAGGCAGAGGCGAGTCCGGCTGGGTGCGTGCGGGCTGCGGAGCGAGGTGCTGTGCCGCCGTCGCAGAGCCCGTGTCCCCGCGGAGGCTCCGCCGGGCGCGGAGTGGGGCGCTCGGTGCTGCGCCCGGAGATGGGGGATGCGCCCTTCAGGGCCATGCGCTTCTCTTATATAGTCCACACCGGCGTACTCATTTGAGTACTATCGACTTTAGGTGGGTGGCAGTCGATGGAGACACCTCTGGTAATCACTCTTGGGCTCAGAGAGGGTCTTTTCTGACAAACTTCCTCCTCCCCGTTTGTCCCCCGGTGGATGGCAACTGAAAGCTGCGTTTGAAGTGACTCTGATCTATTTGTGAAATTAGATTTCCCTGAAGATTGCGGAACGCTTACTAATAAAGCTGCCGGCTCAAGAGATTAAAATGTGCTTTAACTTAGCGGGATTCCCTTGGGAGTACAACAAGGAAACTATTTAATTCCCTCCTTTTTTTATTGAACCAAGAAGCTGTGAGCAAACTCTGAAGTGTGTATAAATTTGGTTCTGTTTTGTTGTCAAGGGAAGTGATAGGTAGTCTGTCTTTGGCAGGTGAATTCACAAACTATGAACCTCATAAAAGTTTGCTTCTTCAAAACAGCTTTTTTAATTTTTGACAATAACACTTAATGAAAAGCTCACAAAAAAAGTAGTCACTTAACGAAACTTGCTTCCTAAAGCCCTAAATAGATCAGCCAAAAATTAACAAATAAAATCTCAACTTTCAGAGAGCAATTGTATGCAGATGGTCTTGACAGATTGAAAATCAATACACATTTTCCAAATTATGCCAGACAATACTTTATGTTGGTATTTTTGTTGCAAGTATAACTCTTTGTCATAAGTTACCACTTAGATATTTACTTAATAAGAGTGGGACAAAAAGAAAAAAGACTTGAGATATCCTGTAAGATGTGAAAATGGGGAATTTAGATTTCAAGGATATTTAAACTATTCTGAATCTGTCTGGCACACAACATTTCCCTACAAACTTTGTCTCTTTCCCCAAGCTCCTTCATTCATACCTTTCTCTGGCTGTCTCAGGCAGCACACACTCTGGGCTGTGTCTCACAGGGGCTGTGTCATTGCTGGTGATGGGAACCAGCTTCTTTCCCACATCATCCTCTGCTTGGGCCATCCTCACTCACCTTTGGGGGTGTGATCCCACAAAGATCAGAGATCAAACCACATTTAACTAATAAATGCTTGCAAAGGGTTTTATCACACTAAATTTTTTTTAAGATGTCACTGTACTGCACTAGATACACTGGAGCTGTGGATTCCCAGGATAACTGAAGCAAGGTGTTTTAAGATGTCAGTGTACTGCACTAGATACACTGGACTGAGCTGTGGATTCCCAGGATAACTGAAGCAAGGTGCCACTCTTTTTCTTGCTAGGTGGTTTCCTGCTTTTGCATCTTTATTGGGTGCATATAAGGAGTTTACTTTTGTCAAGCTGATGGTTAAGTTCAGTGAAGAGGGAAAGGAGAGCACTAATCAGCTGAGAAAAAAAAGTAGCATATTAAATTAACCAGCTGCAAAATAAATCCAAAATTTTCTCTCCATTTTCTCATTTGTTTCTATTATTTTATTATTCTTTTATTTTGCCCTCAGAGACATATATCGACACCACAGAATGGGACTGATTTTTTCTATGGAACCTACCGAAGTATTGGCTTGACTGGAGCTCCTCTGCCCAACTTCATTACTAGTTATAGATGATAATTATATCTTCTAGCCCTGGAAGCAGGTCACATGGGAAGGAAATCCATGTGGCACTCTTAAGACAGAATAATTTTGCTGCTCATAAAAACCCCAAAGTCCTTATTTGGTGTCTGTTTGAGGCAGATGGCAGAATACTCATAAGGATTAAAAGCAGTATTGCAAAAGGCAAGCAAGTAGTCCCTCTATTCTCACTCACATCCCCAAAGAAGACCTAGGGAGTCTGCAGAGACTAGCATGGCTGACTATGTCTTCTTGATGGACAGCATCCTGGGGCTGCCAGTTTGGGAAATTTCTAACCCCTTCAGCAAAGATTCTCAAATATGTCACCCCCACGTAGTGGGTTCATAAGATAAAAATGCTGCTACAAATACAAAGGACATTAAATTTTGTTCTTTAACTTGCATGTTGATTATTTAGGGAACCCAGCTTGGCCCTTTACCGTTATGAGCCACCCAGTTTTAACCTTGTCCTTTAGGTCTGTTGTAACTTGTTTCTCTCCTTTGGAAGAGCTGTATCCTTCTTTCCTTGGATGGACATTATACTCACCCAGAGGGAAATGAACTGTTTTATAATTAGTTTTCTGTTAGACAAATTAAACAGGTAGGTTACTTAATTTCTTACCCTTTTTTATGTTATATTTTGGAATTTTCAAAAGAATAATCAAGAAGTCAAGAAAACAAGAGAGTGGGTGTCCCTGCAGAGCAGCTTGAGAGGCAGATCTATCAGCCCTTGAAGTTACTGCAAAGATTTTCATTCATTTCTGTAGGAGTTGGGACAAGACTTAAAATGAAAAGAACCAATTAGAACCATAGCACATCTAAATCACAAGTTTTAAGCAGCTTTTTCAGATTCTTTCTATGCTCAAAAACCTTAAAGTTTTGTGTAAAAACAAAAAAAAAAAACCACAAACCAAAAAGATTTGTTTTCCATTATTGTGCAAAGCCTTGTCCCCTTTTAAGTTGTTTGGATATTTGAATTCATCAGAGAGAAGTTGAAAGAAGGAGGACCAGACTGCATCCAGAGGATGATGTTTTACTAATCCTAGGCAATTCTGGCAGGATGAAACCCCATTCTCATTGGCCCTTTTGTCAGTAGCTCTAGTGTTTCTCCTCATCATTACATGGAGAAAGAATCTCAGCATGAGATTTACATCAAAGAGACCATCTTAGTGCTTCACTCACTATCTTATTTAAGAACAGAAAACCTGTTAGTAGTGAGCCTAAATAAGTCTGGTTATTTGCTTCCTGTAGCTAACAGATTTAAACAGGTACTTCACATTATTTTTCCTGCGACATGGTCTTTTTATTTTCTGGTGTGCCTTACCCACAAGTATGTCTGATTGAAGTCAAAAGCAAATCAGTTATGTTGAAGTATCATAGGGCTGACAGAGACTCAGAGAGATGATCTAGTGCTTTCCCTTGCTCAAGGCAGAGACAACTGTATCTATGTCATCAGGGCTCAGCAAAAAAACTTTTAATTTCTCCCATTAAGCTCAACAGTTCATCACAAATCCATTGAATGAAAAATTGCTAAATGTGGGTTTAGAAGTGACATTTTACCTTAGGATTTACACTGAAATATAAAAATTATCTAAATGTATTCCCAAAGCACACACTCAAATAAAAGACAGGCTAAAGTGGTTTAAAATTTAGGTGTCTTGCTGTCTCTACATAAATCTATCAGCCAAAGATTTCCATGGTCACTCATCTAAATCAAGAAGAAAAACAGAGAAAACCTGCTTCTGTTGAAGTTCATGGGAATTTTTCTGTTGACTTTGTTAAGCAGGGATTTAATGCAGGGTTGTTACAAAAGGAGAGGTGAAGAAGCGAGAAATCACCTCAAAATATGAATGTATTAGCCAAGCTAGTAAACTATAGATGGCTGTTGTAATTTTTGGTAAATAACAGAGGATTCCAGCTGTTTTCAGATCAGAGCATTTCCTTAAAATCGGAGATTTTACACAATCATATACATATGTGCCTATAGGGGCTCAGTGCAGAGGATTTGATCAGATGGCCTTTTGAATACTTTTTGCATTCCTTTGTTTCTATGAGTCTATAGGGTTTTTGCAAGTGGCTTTTAAGGCACAGGTCATGCTAATGAACTGATGGGGAGGCAATATAGCTAAAGAAGCAAAACAGTGTCACTAAAAGAAATGTGAGAGTCAGTGTGCTGTATTTATATCTTAAATTAAAACTTGGTGCATCTCATAACTTGGTGTTATTTTTTGAACGTTTTTTATAGAAGTAGCACAGTAGAGAATTGTGGTTGTTGTTAATAGAACTTTAGATAGCAGCTTCCATTGGTTATCCTGTACAATAAAGATCATAATTTTTCTCATTAAAGAGTAACATATGTTTTTTTACTATAAACATATCTAAGCATTTTTAATTACAAAGCTGCAATGACCTTTACTGGCCTTATCATTAAGAAATTCTAAAATTAAGTCCCCTTTAAGGTTTGGGGGGCATTTTGCACCTTCAATTAAAATATAATGAGTCATTCTTTAGGCCCCTTGTCTCCCTTGTGCCCTGGAAGGCTAAGCTGGAAACATGAAGAAGTTTCTGACATAAAGATTTCAAACAATAACCTGAAAACTAAGCTACAAGTGTTTTAGCAGGGGGTGAAGAAGATCTAGGGAGAACACTGAGGAGTCAAGTTTGGTAGGACTATGAAATAAGTCCTATATTCTTTTATTTTTCCTGAAACAGTTTCAGATGGGAAGGTTTTGTTTCTGCACTGTCTGCAGCTGGGACTGTTCAGCTGAAGGTGGCACATGGAATAAACTACTGAGTCTGAGTCTATAGATGTTATTTCACAAGAATCTGACCCAAATAGTTTTTCTCTTAGCATAGCTGATATTGAGAACTTAATAGCAAGAAATGAACATGGCTTGCCTTTTAAATTGCTCCCTGGACAAAATCTTCTACAAGATTTTCAAAGAAAAATAAAAATACTCTAAAACCTAGAAAGATTTTCCAGGACCTGAGAATTGTGTGCTGAGGACAGCTGGTCTCAAGGGTTGAGAAATAATCTGTCTGGTCAAAGGACCCTTTGAGCTGTGTGCAGTTCTTCACAAATGCTGGAACATGGAAGGTGTGAAGGCAATTATTTGTATTACCAAGAGTCTGAAGATAGACAGCTTAGCTTATTTTTAGAAAATATCCAATAGCAGCTTGATTTGTTGTCACCTTTTGATTTTGACCAGAATTACCTTTAAGAACGACAAGGCAGACCCTCCACCACAAGAATCCTGCTGCAGGCACCTGCTGTTATCTGGTACCCAAAATACCAAAAATAGATACCAAATTGTCCCACTGGTTTGAGCTTTTCTTTTTCTTCTGAACCTAGATCCTCAGCTCTGTCAGATGCACTGCAAAAGACAAAAGTTCTTTTACTGAGGTAATGACAGCTTATTACACCTGTCATTATAGCAGCTAAAAGAGTTTATTTCCAGATGCAGCAGGTTTAAATTAAATCTCTTGCCTGGCACAAAGACATCTCCAC